TATATATATATATATATATATATATATATATATATATATATATATATACGGTTTACCGGGCAGTTCTGTTTGTGACGATATATATATCGTCATATATATATATATATATCCCGATCGTGAACAGTGTGCATGAACACTACTACTCTTTGTCTTCTTTGGGTGGGACCGTGGGGCCCTAGATTCAGCTCATTATTACCGGTTGTAGACGGAATTCATGACAGGGACTTGCGGAGGGCTTTGGGAGGTGGGTGAAGTCGGTGAGGTCGGTGAGGTCGGATTGGATTGCCGGGAGTCGACCCCAGAACGTTCCCATCCTTGAGCTGCAATTGCGAGAGCTCCTTGCATAACCCCCCCCCGGATCTGGCCCGCAATGTCTCCTTCGCGCACTGTGGGCATGAACACTGTGGTGTTCTTTGGGTGCGAGCCTATGTCTTTCATGGTGTCGAAGTACTGCGAGATGAGCACCAAGTCCATCACGTCCTTAGCGGATGTACCGTCCACGCTCTTGGAGAAGCCAACCACACTCTCCCGGAGGCCGTCCACTATGGCCTGACGCTGGCGAGCCATGCCTACTCCCGACAGGTACCTCGACTCTGCTTCCGCCTCCGACAGCTTCACCTGCAGCATCTTCTCTGCCTCCGCCTTCTCCGTCGCCGCCAGTCTTAGTCTGGCCGCCGAGTTTATCTCGTTCATCGACCTCTTCACCACGGGATCGGGTTCTATGTCCGTGATCAGCGTCTGTTCGATTCTGTAGCCGAAGCTACTCATCACTTTTTCTAGCTCCGCTTTCACAGTCCGAGCTATGTCTTCTTTCTGCTCGAATACGTCGTCCAGGATCAGCTTCGGCACACTAGCACGCACGACGTCAAAGATGTAAGCTTGAATCTGCATCGTCGGATTGGTCAGCTTGTAGAAGGCATCCTTGGCGTGGTGTTCGTCCACAACACGGTACTGGACAGACACGCCAACGTTCACAAACACGTTGTCCTTTGTCTTGGTCTCCACGTTGACGTCAAGCTGCTGAAGGCGGACCGTAACCAGACCAGCAATCCACTCGCAGAGAAAGCAGTTTATGAAATGGCAGCCGGGATCAACAACCCGGCTGAACTTGCCGCATTGCTCCAGCACGGCCACCTGAGACTGGGGTACGCACACAAAGCAGAGACAGCACGGTGGGATGAACTGGCCGTCCGACATCCTGCTCCAAACAAACGCGGTCCTGGCCTCTCCTGTGCGGTGCTGTGCGGCTTTTCTCGAGCCAGGGGAAGGGAGAAGAGCCGTACCTACGAAGGATGAATGATCTGATTAATGATCTGATGAATGATCTGATGAATGATCCGATGAATGATTCGATGAATGATCCGATGAATGTTCGGATGAATGTTCTGATGAATAAGGCTGGATTGGATCGGTTCCCTGGAGAGACAGCAACAAGGGGCGAATAGCAATGGACAATATACATATGTCGAAATAAACAGAAAGGAATAAAGAAAATAGTCAGAAGTTAAGTAGAACAAAAAAATCGGATAAAGACTGAATGAAAGTTGAATTAAAATTGAGCGGAGAAAGGAATTAAAAAAAAAAAAGAAGGAACAAAGAGAAGAGAAAGGTTACGAAGTTATTTATTGCGTGTGGAAAAGAACAGCCAAGGCAGCAGCGCAAGAAAGAACGAACCACCTTCCTCTCTCTCTCTCTCTCTCTCTCTCTCTCTCTCTCTCTCTCTCTCTCTCTCTCTCTCTCTCTCTCTCTCTCT